GATATGGCTGTATGTGCACTTGATTATTATGATTATTTACACTGATATGTTAATTTCACCAAACATATTCATTAGCATCAGTACTGCAGTTATTCAGCAGTTCTAGATTGGATGCTTGTTTTTAGTTCTGCGTTCGACTCATCTGACAATGAGGATTGTTGCAACAGCTTACATTATAACCAGACGAAATTTGTATCGACACATGCCAATATGTCAGATTTTTTGCCATTCACTAAATTTATCGATGCAGTAGGGTTATTGATGAATGTTTTCGGATGGTATGTCTGTTTTGCTGAATTCGTGAAATGCAGACAGGGTTAGCTGATATGAGGTAGGTAGGTAGGTAGGTGTATATTAAGGGTTGAATTAGTTGGTTGAGGTTGAGCCTTTAGCTGTTGCTGCTGAATGATGAACACGAACAGTTTATCCGTGTTGTAGCATTAGTGATATTAGTGCTGAGTTGCGTTCGCAGATAACCTCAACGCACACAGCTTAATCAACTATTACACCATGCTTACTGCATATCTCACGTCAGAATGATTCCATAGTGCTGCTTGTTTACACTGAATTATAAGAAACTGAATACGTACGAAGCTAAATCTGTGTTTTATGTGGTCAATAAAAGATCATCACTATACTTTTTTAATCAACAGAACATCTTCCAATCCATCACTCTACACGGCTCTGTTGGGATATGATGTGATGAAGAAGAAGAAGAAGCACAATTGCTATTATGTGCCCACGGCTATATGAATATCGAAATACTCCTCTGATCTTTCAGTTCAGTTCGCAGCATCTGCTTGCTTTACCATTCCTCCGCTTTATCCACCCGCTAAATGGTTGTTCCTCGTGTTACTGCTGCTGCTGATGATCTTCTTCGCCATTCCAACGCCTCCATCCGAACTGGTGATTTTCATCGCAACATTGCTACATTCCGCTATCGTCTATACAGTTTATTCTGCTTATTACCAAACAGTTTCCATGATGAATTCACTGATAAGATAAGATAAAAATTTAATTTATCGAGAGAATCGACGGCAGTGGGATGCATCACTTTTTTGCGAAAACAATACCGCCATTCAAATTGTATCAATTATTGTCTCACTCATTTTCGTTGCTGAAACTTCCTGCTTTCTTGTATTCTCATTTTGTTAACGTTTATTTCGATCAGTTTGAGTTGCAGTTACAGTACATATACTCTCACTGAACACACTGTATTCACTACTTAATGCTATATTTCATGATGAATATACCAAATTTAGGTTTGAATGAGTGTATCGAAAGGGAAACTCGATTGTACTTATTCGATCTCTAAATTTTTCATCTGGCCTGCTTCGTTAAGTCAGTAAGATGTGCTGGATTGAAAGTTATCGCAAAACATGCGTTTGAAGCGAAAAAAAAACAGTTTGATTGACTTAGTATTAGACAGGAAGGTGTGGACTGCTGTTAGGATAGTTTCTTGGGTGAGTAGGTGTTCCAGACTGATGCATATGCGCCACGTGCTCTTAGCAGTATTTCACTGCTCCGAGAGCGTTGTTGACGAGACACGTTGTTGTTTATCGGTGCTATCTGCATCCAACACATTGCCCTACGGCCACACATTCTTCCAGCAACTCAGTCCATCCTATCAGTGTATTGTACTCACAGTTCATCTGAACCAATGCCGTTTCCAAGAGGCGCATTGGGGCATTCGGCTATTACTACAGTGTGGTGCTATGCAACACCGTAAAATGAGCAAAATTCAAATGCTACACAAGTTTCAAAGATATCGACCGAATATGTGTGTAATATTAATCGAATGTGAGAATTTTCAATCGATTTCGAAAGCTTTATCCTACGATTTCCATTGAATACTGTATTGTCGAGGTCACTCAATCGCATTTGCTTCAGTGACTTATTGATTCATGAGGAAACAGATGATGGTTGACGCTTTCAAAGATCGATTCAGAAGTCTTTCGGTCATCAGATAAGGAATTTGGTACTGATTGTGAGTGAAATTTCTCAATGGTGCATAGCAGAATTGTTGAATTGAGGAGTAGAAATATTTTATGATACTGAACGAAAACTATAATACAAAGAATGCGAATAAAGTATTCTGATAAGCGAAAATGAATCATTCTTTTGAATCGAATCAAAATGAATCATGAATCACACCATCATTCTTTCGAAACTAAAAGCAATTTTGCTAGCAACTCACCAGAGGGTCTGTTTTTAATTCTGCTTTATTTGCTAGCAACTCAGCAGCTGTGAATAATGATTGCAAACAATCGAACTTCGCTCTAATTTTGACAATTGCTCAACGAGTTATGATTTTAATTTAGTTTTTTTCGCCAATAAAAATTAACAGTGATTTGATTATGAGAATGAAGCACTGAGATAGATACTGGAGCATCTGGTGAGCAAATGCGAAGTGATCTGTTCTTTGATGCCCATCTTACCATCTGTATCCAAACTCAATGTGAACTCAATTCCTTCCATTAGAGTTCTTCTGAAGACCGACGTATTCACTTAAATCACATTTTAATTTGCGTAGTTTATCACCTTTAATGTGTTTTAGATAATAACCGTTGAAGATTATGGAATTCACACCGTACTAGTGTTCATTTATGTATTTATGCCATTCGTTTGAGAATGTTCGTTCAAGAATCAATCACGTTTGTTGTGTTGCACCTCGAGCGAGTGAATAATTTATTTTTGTGTCCCATTTTCAGTATTCCATTCAGTGGTTTACTGATCCATAGAGACAGCTGCTCTCTTAATGAGTCGGTTCTGTTAACATCATATTGCATCATTCAAAAGCGATATCATGGAGAGAGTTGTTAAAAATGAAAAGGACGGATAAATAAATCACGGAGTAAAGAAGAGATACGGAAACCCAAAGAAGGATAATGAATGGACATGTTAATTCGAAATGATACTTTGTTAGCATTGCATGTCGTATATCATATTTTTAGTCGCGTATTTGACCCGTGATTTTTAGCGAGTTTTTCTGTTGCACTTTATTGTTAGTTTCGAATAATTTATTTTAGGTTTGCGTGGTCAATTGCGCCATAATTCATTTCTGCCAAAATGTCGGACGAAGAGGAGATTATGTGCGTATCAATTCTTCGTTTTTCTCAAATTAACAAACAACAGAAATCGAACAACTTATCGTTTCTTTTTGTCGCAAAGTGCAATAATCTCAAAAGTGCAATGATTAACCGCTGAATTTATCAATGTTGAGTTGTCAGTAGTCAGAAAAAGTGTTTCTAAGCATGAAACTCCCGTGGCATTGAGAAAATTTTCAAAGACCAAAAAAGATCGACCTCGTGCATCTAAGCAGTCACAGTTCCTCAGAGTTGATCGCAACTCTGAGCGAACGTAATTCAAAATTTCGAGCAGCCGTTAACTTGCATATCACAAGAAACCCTAGCAAAGAGCTAATTTTGGATTCAGAATACGATCAGTCAATTGACCGAACGTCACCTTTAAGTCTTCGATAATCTAGCCCTTCCAAATGAACACATCCACTACTGAAACATTTGAAGTCATTAAGAGATCTGGATTTGCTTATTTAATCCATTAAGCACAACACTAATGCAATATTGCCAGTACATTTATCTCTTCCATCGTTTGACCGTTGTTCATCGATTCAGTGATGAGGAGGAGCAAGAGGAAGAAGAAGCCGGAGAAGATGAAGTTGAAGAACCGGAAGAACCTGAAGAACCCGAACCGGAGCCTGAACCGGAGGAGAAGCAGGAGGAAGTAAAGTACGGGAATGCATAAATTTTGTGATCAGCTTTTCATATCAGTCACAATTAATAAACCGAAAACTTCTTCGAAAACCTTAGTGAAGTGTCCGGTGAAAATTGCAATTCAGTTGAACCAATAATTATAATTTCGCTCAGCGGTGAACTTCATCATTTCAAAACAGTATTTAGT